TGGCTTGTAGGCCTCACCTGCCTGCCAGGCAGCCCCTTCCTGCTCTGAAGTCTGAGGGCGGGTGCTGTGACTCACTTCTGCCAGCCCCATCCCAGCTGCATTTCAGGCCCCAGCCCCTCCCGCTCCCTTTTTCTTGGCTGCAGACTCAGAGAACGAGACAGAGTGGTCCTCGTCGCCAGTTGTATTAGCTTCCTATTGTAACAAATGATCATAAACTTGGCTTAAACACTACACACTTAGTTGAGAGTTTCAGAGGTCTCAAGTCTGATGTGGCTCTCCACGGGCTGAAACCAAGGTGGGGACAGAGCTGTGCCCCTCTCTAGAGGCTCCGGAGAGAATCCGTTTTCTGGTGTTTCCCAGCTTCTAGAGGACGCCCGCACTTCTTGCTCATTGCCCCTTCCTCCATCTTTGAAGCCAGCAATGTCACACCTCTCTGACGATTCTTCCACCGGCCCACCTCCCTTTGACTGACAGTAGCTGGAAAAGATCTCCACGCCTAAGGACTTGTGTGGCCACACTGCAACACCCGCAGAATCTAGGAGAATGCCCCACCTCAGAGTTGTTAACTTTAATCACAGCAGCAGAGTCCCTTCTGCTTTGAAAGGTAAAACACTCCCGGGTTTCAGGGATTTGGACAGTGAAAATTTTGGGGTCACTATTTTGCCTGACATACCGGACACGGCATTTGCTTCTTCCCCTCAACTCTGACTGTCCTGCACTTGGTGGCTCAGAGGACCTATGGAAGCTGCTCTGCCCAGCTGAATGCATGACTGCGAGTCTTCAGTCCAGGTGCGGAGGATGGGTGGGCTGAGAAGTGGGAAGATTAAGGAGATGTGGCCAATTCATAGCCACTCACTAAACCACAGGACAGCTATTACAGACCTGCCAGCAAGGAAAGGTCTATTTGATTTTCAAATGAGAAAAAAGAAAAAAGTTCCCTTTATCCCATAACTGTTTCCAATTTTGATATCCTAAGGTTGATTACGAAGAATGTGCGCAATTATGTTCCATGTATACTGAGATGGAGGCCTAAAATGGAAGTGTATGGGAAGTCTGGAGGACTTTTAGCCCCTGTGGGCCTGGGCTGCAGCTCAAATGCAAGGTGTTTGGCTGCATTACTAGAGTTCACCTAATAGCTTGTCCTCGCTGTTCTTTCATTTACTCTTTCAGTGTTCCTGTGACGTTAGGTGCAATGATAAGCCTTTTGGGTGTATAATTTTAACTTAGAATTCATGTGCAAGACAAGGGCTTGACCTTGGCCTTTTGTTCACACACACAGTCTCAGTCTTCAGGAGGTGACAAGTATCGATTATCAGACTCTTTCCTGGCAGATGAGCGAAATCTCTGCTTTGAAGACAATTTTGTTTGACATTTTAGGGATTAAGCCAAGGCTAATATTTGTCCTCTGCTCCAGCCATGCATTTGGCTGTGTGGTCTTGGGAAAGTCACTTAACATCTCTGACTCCGTCTCAAAAGCTGCCTCTATTCCTGGCGGTGTGTGATGAGTGTGGTAGGCACGCTGTGGTGGCTGCAGATGAACATGATTGTAGGTTATGGGCCCTGCAGGTGCGGGATGGGAGAGGGTGCTTGCCCAGTTCCATGGTGGTTGAGACTTCTGTTGGGCCCGGACCAGACGCAGGAACTCAGCCAGTGCAAAGTGAAGATATGGAGGAGCAGAAACCAAGAGGCTGGCAGAGGATGCTGGTCTGCTGAGAGATCAGAATGGCCAGGCAGAGAGGCGTAGAGATGCCGGCAGAGGAGAGGAAGGGGATGGCCAATGACTGCTCAGTCCTGTGAACACTCTCCTTTCCACACATCTCCCTTCACCTGGGCTACCTGGAGTGGTTTTCTTTTCCTTGTACCCTAAATGTCTTTGAGTAGGAGATTGAGGAGTCAAGATGTGTTGCATTTTGTAAATCAGACCATTTTTATATGTCTTATATTTTTATTCAACTTTTTTTCCGGTTAATATTAGTGTTAATATTAGAAGTTAAAAGACTTCTAAATTTGTCTTTCAAGTTCTGAATGTAAAAGTCTCAATTCTGACTCGGCTCTCCTAAGTTAAACTAAGGGAAAGAATCCTCCAGGAAGCTGTGTGGACCAGGGGCAGCGGTAATGGAGGGCAGAAGGGAGGGAAGGAGCTGTTCGGAGCTCCAGAGCCCTCCTCCCTTAGCAGGTCCTTCTCAACCTGAGTCTCTTTTTCCAGTGCTAGTTCTTGATGGGTGGGTCATTTCTTCGTAGGGCCTCATTTCCTCACTACAACACACAGAGGTGGAATCAGGTGCTCTCTAAGGCCTCAGGCTGTGATTCCACGAGTGCAGGGATGATTTTAAGGGGTAGCAAAGAGAGTGTTAGAATCTGGTGAGAACCCAAATCACCAAGATGCCCTACTCCCTCCCTCTGTATGCACTCACGCTTATGGCGGGGATTGAAAAGGACCCCTCAGGAGAGGAAGCTGGGCAAGTGAAACAACAGCAGTTTCTGCTGGATACGTGTCTCCCACTCAGCCTCATCACACCCTTCTCAGGCCACCCTCTCGTTTGTTTTGTTTCCCACGTTCCACGGATGGATGTATCACCTCTGTGCAATGCCTCAATCCATCAACGATCACCCTACCTCCTTGCGACCCCAAGGCTGGAAGCAAGGGAGAGGCAGCTATAGGCCCACATTCATTTACTGAGGGTCTTCTGAATACAGAGCCGGTCACTGAATTACAGGATGCCAGGGCTGGCAGAGCCCTAATAAATCATCTGGACTGACCCTCATGCTACACAGATGGCAGCACTCACAAGGAGAGGTTAAGTGACTGGCTTAAGATCACGCAGAGGAGCTAAGGCCCGAATTCAGATCACCTGTCAGCACTTCATTGTGCTTTCCACTCCACCCTGTTGCTGGGGGAGGGGGAAGATGATGGATTAGTTTATGTGAGCATAAAACAGTGGAAAACACACACATTTCCCTAAGTGCTCCAAATTAATAAGAACCCTGGGAAAAAAGGCAGACAGCAAGGAATATTTTTGAAAGTGAAACTGAAAAGCACGGGGAAAGGTGTATTTTTCCTCCTTCCCTGCTACACTGTTCTCTAATCCACGTTCTCATCAGCAACACTATTCTCATGCCATTTTTCTTCTCCCTGACATATTTATCACCTTATTTTTATATTATACTATAAACCCTGGTATATACAAGCTTTTAAAGCACCTATTTTTACTGCAAGATAACACACCAAGCTTTGAGTCCCCCAGTACAATTGACTACGGACATTTAGCAGTAAGACACATTTCCTCCCTAGCAAAACCTGCCATCCCATTGGCTGTCTGTAAAAAGTAATACAGGAACGAAAATGGGTTGGCATTTTGAAATCAGGAATACTTCCCCAAATCCCACTTTTCTTATTTCAACTCAAAAACTTCAGGATAGATCACCTGACATTGAGAGGTGACATCTGCAGCAACTGGTTATTTTTATGTAATTGAATCTGACTACATATACGTGCCAGTTAACTCATCTATTAATTTTCCCTGACAGGAATAGAAGGTAGTGCTAAATGTGTTATTGGAATTAAATTCTAAAAATACAAATGTTGTAGGTTTTTGTGAAAATAAAGCATTTTTATTTCTTGTGACAACTCAAAAATAACTATTCTAGTGTCTCTGATAGAACAACACTGGTTAAAATGCTTTGGGAAAGCTGTGACGGCGCTGGAGACCCGCGGGTGCTGCCAGGTATGAATTGTTTTTCTTTTCAGGAGGGTGAGTGAGCTGTGACCACAGCTTCTGAGCAATAGGCACCAAAGTTTATGATGGTTTCCATTTCCATCGCCCCCTCCACCCGCAATGGTCCTTTGTAGAAGGTGTGATAACCATCCTGCCTTCAATGATTCTTGATAGAAAGACCACCTATTTAAGATGTATGTATAGGGCTGGGCGCGGTGGCTCACGCCTGTAATCCCAGCACTTTGGGAGGCCAAGGCGGGCAGATCACCTGAGGTCAGGTGTTCGAGACCAGCCTGGCCAACATGGTGAAACCCCGTCTCTACTAAAAATAAAAAATTAGCCAGGTGTGGTGGCACGTGCCTGTAATCTCAACTACTCGGGAGGCTGAAGCAGAAGAATTGCTTGAACCCGAGAGGCAGAGGTTGCAGTGAGCCAAGATCGTGCCATTGCACTCCAGCCTGGGCAACAGAGTGAGACTTCATCTCAAAAAAAAAAAAAAAAATGATGTACGTATAAATGTAAGATTATGCGTGCTTATTTTTTGATTGTTTATTATCAATTTCTGTATATGTTTCAGTGAGACACCTATTCATATCTGAAATAAGAGTGATACATTATTGCCAAATAAGAGAAAAGATTGAGGCTAGATATCAGCATGAGCCTTCAATTTCTACTCTAAGTCAGATAATAGAACAGGTTGGGAAAAGTCACCTAGGTGCCCCGCTGACTGATGAGGGCCCTCTCTCTTCCCACCCCTTCTTCCTCATTAACTTGTGAGTTTTTCCAGTACCAGTGCAGGGGCCTGAGGTTATAAGGAGAAAAGAGAAGATACGACCTAGAGCACCATGTTCTCTAGGCGTCTAACCTATAGGTGGATAGGTTGTAGCACAGGGTTGCAGTCCCTCAAACAAATGCTGTCAGGGTTGAAAGGAGGTCCAACCTTCTTGATCTACAGATGAGGAAACTGATGATCAGAGAGGTGAAGGCCTGGCCCAAGGCCCAAGGCTAAGTTAGCACTCGTGCCCATCTCTCCTATTTTCCAGACAAATAAATACTCTTGAGTGCAAATGCCATCTACTTAAAAGTGTTTTTTAATCTGTCCTTTCCTTCAGGAAGTCTCAGATTTCTTAAATGGCATCTGGGTTGCTTCCGTTTTTTTCATTTACATTTGCATTAGGGAAGAGAACAAATCTGTGCTCAAGGATGCGCTGGTAATATTTGTGGCATAAAATTAAGCACACGGCATGACTTCCTTTCCAGATTCAGAACATTAACTGCACTTACCCGTACTGGACAACACCCATCAGTGGACCGGCAGGGCCAATGTCAAGAGCTTGGGCAACATCAGCCAGGAGCTGCTTCTGGATTCGGAATCGCCGTTTGCCAATGCTGGCACTCCCATCAATTAAAAACGACAGGTCAACTTTGCAGTCTGCGGATGGAAAAAGACTCTGTTGTTCTGGTGCTCTCTCATTGCATTTACCTGGGTATCACTTGTTCCTCTGTCTCCATTAGAGCCCCCCTGACAAATGAAAAGAAAGTGAAAATGAGATAGTAAGATACAGGGTATATTTATTTATTTATGCCCCAGAGGGGTTTCCCTGATCACCAAGGACCTGGACACTTGGGCTAGTCCTTATTTCCATAACTGTTTAAAACTCTATGTATCCACCACAATTATGGGTGGAAGCAGCGACGTCCCAGCCAAGCTTGGGAAGGCTGTCAAAGGTTCCCTAAACTCAGATTTTGTAAACGCAGACTTTCGGTTGTGAGAATTCACTAAGACTCTCAAGAGCTTGTGGCTTTTTACTTTCATCCTAATTCTTTAGAAATAAGTGTTGGATTTTTATTAGATGTGAAAGATCTGCAAGGCCAGCACTGAAGGAAGGGTAGGAATTGTAGAATAAGAAATTGATATCAATCTTCTCCTTCATTTCCCTGGGTGAGGCAAGCAAAGAAACTGTCCACATATGCATATAGGATGTCAGCCCTTGTTCATAGCTATCTTAGATTTTTTTCCTTTTTTTCTTTTAGTTGTGATGAAGACTAGGATAGTTATTCTGACTTAGGATCTCTGGATCTCTGCGGATATATGAAGGTTATAAGAGAGGTAAAGGGATGGACAGGCTGTAAGCTCTTTTCACCCTCTCAAACACCAAAAGAAACTAGGGCAAAGCCACACTGGTGAATAGAAATTAGTGTTTTCTTTGCTGTAGACAGGAATATCATCTCAGTATGATAAAACTGACTATTCAATACTCATCAGAGGTTCTTATTGGGAGCTTTAGATCCCTTTGATTAGTACAAAGTGAAAAATAAATTATTTAACAGTTGCAATTTAGAAGACAAAAATGTTTCAAAATAAAGTTCCATAGAGGAAAAAAAAAAGGCAGTAAAGTTGAAAATTTCTAGGCTGGTGTATCCAAGAGGACACTGGGGCCAGCACTGCCCATTGTGGGTGGGGGGCAGCGGCCAGACAGGCCTGCACCTCTCTAATCTGCACACGACCACCACGTCCTCTAAGGTGCATTGTTGTCACGGGCTGGAGTCGCTCCATTCTTCAGGAAGAGAAGCTCTGTAGGTGGAGAGGGCTGCTGTTGGTTAAAAAAAAAATCTGTTTAAAAATGAAAGCAATAAATGAACATGAGTTGATAAAGTTTTGGGCAGAAGAATTGATGAGAAATATTTATTACTGCAGAATTGTGATGAGGAGAAAAGTGATACCTGACAATGTGTTTTATTATCGTGCTGTATTGCATTGGCAATCAAAACCAGGGAAGTAGGAGACTTGAGGGACCTGTCTGGGACTGGCTGACTTCGCCCCATCTAGAATCAGTATGTACCTTGGCTCAGTAGCACATCTCAAAAGAAAAGCTTTACTTCCTATCTGCCTGGGCGTTCAGTGCCTACCAATTCATCCCTTTCAACTGACTTCTTTTGTCCTTTGCTTCCCCCAAACTGCCTATACCCAAGCATGATCTAGAGACAACGACTGAAAGAGGCAAATAAAATCCAGAAGCAGAGTTTACAGATGCCACTAAAACCTGGGGTAAAGCAGAGGAGAAGCAGAACTGCTGTACCGCTTGTCATGTTGATCCCCAAGCAAGGCCAGCTTATTTTTTTCCTGACTGGGCTTGCAGTGTGAATTGTTGCCAGCAGGTGGCAGTGGAGTTCTTTAGGGCTTGCCGCCCACTGGCACCTACGGTTTGCTCTCAGGCTGCACCCAAACCTATAGAATCAGATCTGCATTTTAACAAGATCCCCAGGTGATTCCTGTGCCAGTAAAGTTTGAGAAGTACTCCTGAGGCGGGGTTTCCCTTCCAGATGTCAGCAGATTAGTTCAACACGCCTTTTGGAGTAAAGTCTTTTTGAGGAACAATTGTTAGAGTAAGGGCCAAAGGGGATTTTCTTTTAACACGAATAAAATACATGGATATTGTAGCATCTATTTTGGTTCCTGACAGGCATTTTTCCTCCTTGTTTTTTACATCTTGAACTGTGTTCAGGATTAACATAGTTAGGTCTTAAAAAGGTGAGCTGTTTCTCTATTTGCTTAATTCTCTTTACTCACTAGCCTGATGGCTGATACCAGGATACCCTTGATCATCTTTTAAATGACAATGGTTGCAGCTCAGGGCATGTTCCAAGGCATGTTTTAACTGAGACCTGTGGCTTTCTCATATGGAGATGAAAACATTCTGATCTGAAGATGCCAACAACAGGTAGAATTGGGTTATGCAGCATTCAGCCTGAGCAATTCATTATGGATACAGAAGACGTCAGAGGTTGAGAGACAAGAGAAAGTAAGATATGGCATCTATGGGAATCGATCTATCAATTTATTTAATTGCTCTAGTTTCCTTCAACATGGTACAATTTTATAGATTAATGCTTTGTGTTGTTCAATACATCAGGCCAGTGTTTCTTAACCCTGGATACATATCAAGAGTAATATACATAACACGGTTGCTTGTGCAGCTTCAACAAATAAAGACTCCTGGGATTCACTCTGGACAGTGCTTCTCAAGGGTAAATGTGCAAAGGAATCAATCACTTGTGGGTATCACCTGTAGAACCACCAGGTCGGGGTGGAGCCTGAGATTCTGTGTTTCTAACAAGCTCCCTGGTGATGCTGATGCTGCTGGTCTCCAGACCACACTTTGGGTAGCAAGGTCTAGGGAGAACCTGATACAGTAGGTATGAGGCAGCAAGGTAGGCATCTTTAATTTTAAAAGTGTCCTCAGGTGATTCTCATAAGCAGCAAGGTTGAGCCTCACTGTCCATTGGTGGCTGACCAGCAGTAACTTCCTAGAGGAATTTGCAGGTGCTTTCTTTCCTTGCAGGCTGCTACTACACCTTTCCCATTTTCCTTGTTTTTTTCTCTGATACCTCCTTTCTGATATCCTCAGGTGGTTTCTCCTCCACCTGGTGTGGTTCTTCAGGTTTAAGTCTTCTATTTCTTTTGACTCTCTTTCCCTAAGTCACATTATCTGTTCTCACAGCCTTGGCTTTGAACCATAGCTCATCGTCTTACAACTCTAAGTTTCTGATTGGGCTGTTCCTTCTGAATGTCAGATCTGAATAGTCTTCCCTCTACCAGATCAGATGTCTTGAAGAAGATGACAGACATAAACCTGCTCCATGCCCAGTGTTCCTCACTGTAGTATCATTTACCTAGTTGCTCAGCTTACCTTCAACTCCTCCCTTTCTCTGTCTCCACCTTCAATCCTATAGATCTTTCCTTCTCTGCATCTCTTGAATCTGCCCATTTATCTTCATTTCCACTTCAAACTCCGAGCTCTGGCCACCATCATTTGCACTAGACCCTTGCCCCTACCGATCTGCCCATCTCCTCCTTTCATCCCTCCTTGTCTTTCCATTCCATCCCATTCTTCACCCTGTTGCCATAGTGATGTTAAAAATGTTTGATCCTCTCCCCCTCGTGGATATAGACAGTTTATATCCTTCAAAAGCTTCCCTTTCCCCTTAGAACGAGGTGTCAGAAGAGAGGAAATAGAAAGATCCATGGTAAGAGAGAGGCAGGTTTGAGTGGGAGTGAGTGGGAAGAGAGGAGAGAGGAGTTCAGATGTCAAAGACACCGTGGGTTTCTAGTTGTCAATTAACTTACTTGGATCTCCCAGGGATACTGGCTCCAAAGACTGTGTGCTCAATTCTTCTTTTGGAACAAATCCTGGAAACAGCAGTAAAACTTTTGGTGACTTACAAGCACAGGAAGCAGCTGGCCTTACCCCAGGGAAGGAGACATAAAGGATATTTACACCCAGCTTGGGGGCTTGGCTTAAAGCTAACTGTGCTCTTGTTTACATTACCCCCATCCTGAGAAAAATAATAAATTACTATTTACTTACACCCTATTAAAAACATAGTACTCTGCTAGGGGACTTGAAATCAAGAGACTGAGTTCGGGTCCCATTAATTTATTCTTTATTCTGAGCCTTAGTTTTCTTATCTGAAAGCGTTAAGCACTTTGCCATCCTCAATTATGCCTCTGTAAAATTCTGAAAATCCTTGAGGAAACAGGATGTGTCTTGCTCGAATAAACCCTTAACTGTGCCAAGGTCCTGTAGGTCCTCAGTCAACATTTGGTGATTAAGACAATGAAGGAAGATGAGCAAGGCACAAGGACAAGCAAATGACTGGATATGGACTGGAGGAAGATCGCTTTTTTAAAAGTATCTCAAATAAGAGGGCTTAAAATGCAACTCCTCCCTTCCAGCTGTTTGAGACTAGAAGCAGAGGCACAAAAACGTTTCGAGCTCTCAGAAGCTGTGTGAGTTGTGTTTCAGCCTTGGGGAAGGGAGTGTCTTTAGAGCCATTTACATGGGAGCCAAGTTCATAAATATACCATTTAAAGAAATAAACACAATAAAAGCGAATCCCTTTAGACTTGGTAAGACCAATGGTCTTCTGAGGCAGAGCGCACTTGCAGTGCCGGAAGTGAGTCTCCCCATTTTTAGGGCGCCCGGAAGTTCCGGCATTCTCCGGGAGTGGAGGAAGGTGCTGGGGTCTTTGCTCGTGCTTGGCTGTGGTGAGTTTTCTCCTGGCTTGTTATTTTTTCCAGTTTGCAAAGCACATGATTTCATCCTTCCATTAAAGGTCAGCTAGCTCATCCCACTTCCTCACATCATTTTAAACATTCACTTTGGGTGTCTAACAGCATTTCTCAGCCAGGAGCTTGTCCCGGAAACGCCCCAAGGCTCTGCGTTGGAAGGGGAGAAATACGAGTCCAGAGGGGGAGTCCTCTCCTTCACCTCCTTTCCCTACCAGTAAAACCTTCCCTCCCACGAAGAGCTGGAAGGTCTTGTTTGTTGGAGTTTCAAACACTGAATGCAGCAGACAGCGAACAACGCCCATTCTTGTGAAGGGAAAAGCTGAGCGCCATTTTGCCAAAAAGGAAGTGGAGATGGAGGAAGTTAAAGTGTGCTGCCAGATGGAGCGAGGGTCCAAAAGCCATTCTGAGGGTGGGAAGCTAGCTCTCTTCTGGCTTTTTGTCTTCACGTTTCCTCTCTCCCTGTTGTCATCCAGTGTTGCTCCTTACACCGGCCTCCCTAGGGAGGTAGTTTCAGTGTGCCCTTTGCATGACCCTTAAGTCAGAGGCGGGAGCCATTAGAAATCCTACGCTAGCCCAGCTCCGGCAACTCTGCCACCAGCTGGATTATTAGACTCTCAGTTCTGTTATCCTGTGCATCTTAATCCAGGCATGGCGAAGAGGTTGGGCTGTATTATTACCTTCATCTAAAAAGACCGATCCAGGTTTCAGTAAGTCCATGTCTCCTGATTTTCAAAATTGAAAAGAAACAAACTTGTTACTTAAACCAAACCAGAAACTCTTGAGTGAATTGCCGGGATGATAAGGTTTCCCAATTGTGTCTAAAAGTTCAATAAAGGAACAGAGAGCCAGAATTTTGGCTGAAGCAACCTGAAATCTGTATGATTTTTTTAAATCCGAAGCTCTTAAAGTCAAAGGCATAAACGCCTTTACCAGTTTCTCTTTAATTATGCACCAAGAATCTTGGAATAATAGGAATCCTGGGATTCAAAAGGAGCTAAAAGTTCATCCATTCCCAACCACCTCCCAGCCTGTTTTTACAACATCCCTGCCTGTGAGTGGCTAGCCAGTGCTTGAATACCTCCAGAGACAGAGGGTCCTTACATATTCAACCAAGGTAGTAGCTTCCTTCTTGCACTATTGAGACTGAATCTTTTGCCCTAAATCCTTTCCCATCTATCCATACATCCACACTTAGTAAGCACTCACTATGTGCTTAATATAGTTCTAGGTACATTTGTCCCACCTGTTTGAATTCTCTTCCTTGCACTACACAGAATAAATATGGCCCCTTCCAGGAACAGGCAATCCACTTTTACTGAGATTCTGCTTCTCACTGTGTGACTCAAGCAGAATAAAGGAAAGTAGCACCTGGATCTGTATGCAGTTAGAGGTTTAATGGCCTTCACCACAAATTGGTGCTGATAAAGTAGAAGGATTAGAGGGGAGGGGGAGAGTCTTACCCAATAATCTCTGATCTTTTGGGGAAAATCATGGCTGAGAGGGGCTCAGGGGCAGCACAGATGTATCAGGAAGCCTTATAACACAAAAATGGCTGCCTCCCTTTCTTTCTGCCTCTCTCCCTCCTCCCCTCTCTTTTCCATGTCTCCCCTCCGCTCCCTCCCTCCCTCTGTTTCTTCCTTCTTCATCTTAGCTCAGAAGGTTGAGATCATGATCAACTGTTTTATTTCTTAAAGGCTCTCAGCTTCTCTGCCAGCTGGAATTGCTAACACACTGAAAAAAGGTGATATTTTTCTTTATGTGATAAGGATGGCAGGCAGTATTGAAAGGCATTCCGTCCTTGCACATTCTGGTTTGATGGTGAGACCCTGAGTTTAATCTAGTTCATTCATTAACCAGATGTGTGACCTTGAGCTAGTCACATACCCTTTGTGAACCTTAATTTCTTTATAAGTTACAGAAGCAGATTGGGCAAAATAGTCCCCACATTCAAAATATTTATGACAGGCTTAAACATTCTGCTTGAGAACGTTCTGCTTCTTTAGCCCTATTACTTTATCGCCACCTACTGGTGAAAATATGCACTTTACCCTTTTCCTAAAAAAAAAAAAAAAAAAAATGTGCTAGTGGCTTCTCTCCTTTTTTTGCCCAAGGCTTTCTTTTCTTTTTTCTTTTTCCGATGCACCCTTGAATGTCAGGAAGATTAGAATGCTGGGTGCTCTATTACTTTATCAGGTGATAAACAGTCCTCCAACATCAGGGGTTTCCAAGCTTCTTGCTCCTGTCCTAGAAGCCTGTCCTTCTATTAATGCCACTTTTATTTTGTTTGGGACAAGTTTGAACCAAATTACATGCATCCAAAAGCCAAAGGCTGAAAAATATTTGGACAGCTGAGACTTGGTGTGTTTTGGACTCAGTAGTACTGAGAAGTAAATTTGTGAGAACATTTGTATTCTGGCATCAAGGAGGAACAGGGTGGCATCAGGAAAAAAGACGCCAGAACCCCATCCTGGGTCTACCAAAGACCAGCTGGGGGCCTGGGGAGGGCTCACTTAACTTCTTTCTAGTTTGCCTCCAGTTTTTCCCAGTGTAGGGCTGAGGTCATAAATACCTTCCCTGCACTGTCACATGGAGGAGACTAACGTGTTCAGAAGTGCTCTGAAAAGTGTAAGTCACTCTTAGAAAACCAGGGAATTATTTTTATGTTTCTGTGACAATTCTTGCTTGGCCGTCTCATAGATCCAGTCATGTCTAAAGGAAGTGTTGGTTCTGATACTGCATATTCTCACTTACAAGTGGGAACTGAATGATGAGAACACATGGACACATGGTGGGGAACAGCACACACTGGGGCCTGTTGGAGGGTTGGGAGGTGGGGGGAGGGAGAGCATCAGGAAGAATAGCTAATGGATGCTGGGTTTAATACCTAGGTGATGGGTTGATCTGTGCGGCAAACCATCATGGCACACATTTACTTAATGTAACAAACCTGCACATTTGGCACATGTATTCTGAACTTAAATTACAAGTTGGAAATTAAAAAAAAAAAAGATGTATTAGTTCTGAACGATTTCTGGGGTAAAAATGTAGAAGCCATTGGTGTTTATGGAGAGCTTGCTTAGTGTCAGGCACTGAGTGAGCACGTCCTACCTATTAAGTCACAGTCATCTTGTGAGTTAGGTGCGACTATGATCTCGTTTTACAGGTGAGGAAACTCATGCACACAGAGTGGCAGAACAGAACTTTAGGCCCAGGCAGGCAGGCTCCAAAGCCTACACCTAACCACCATCCGTTTAACACACCAGGAGGAATCATCATCGTATTAGCATCTCAGGGTGCTTGGTTAGGCCACTGAAGAGCTCGGCCTGGCCCAGCTACCTAATGTAGTCAAGTCTTCCAAAGGGCCCAGAAGCGTGGTATGATCTTGGTGCTGGTTCCAGCTCCTTCTGTACTCCTAGAAGTCACCAACACAGGAGCCAACCAGGAGCTGCAACACATGGCACTTAGGGTGCTCACAGTTTATTAGACAGAAGCCCAAGTGGCCCTTCAGCTCCCTGGTTTCTTCCCAGTGACTCCCCTGGGATGCAGGTTTTAGGAGGAAGTGGCTCTGAAAGGCAGCAGGTCTCTGGAGCCAACAAAATCTCTAGGCTTCCCTTCCCTTCACCTGGCTTCGTGTCCCAAGGGCTGCACTTTCCCTGGAGAGCTGCTTCTTGCTGTACTGAAGTCAGGGGCACTAAGAAGGTGGGGTGCAGCAGCTGTACTCAGGGTGTCGCCATGTTGTCAGCACACTGCCAAGGACTCTCAGAGAAGGCTGAGAGTCTGGGGTCCTGGGCATGAGCCATCATGCCAGTGAAGCATTGACAGTCCCAGGATTAGAAATGGGTTACCATCTAAGCCTTTTCTCTTGGAAACAACATTAACTCCATGGTTTGGTTTCCAGACCAGTGAAACTTCTTTGACTCAAACACAGCTCATGGTACCATGAAGACAACCAGCATAAGGATGGTTCCGAGGAAAAGCGACCGGGTTTTAACTTGAATTATCAGGAGCCCGCCACCCCTGCCTCCTCTTAAGAATACAGCAGGAGTGGCCTCCCCCAACTCGGAGAACCCTGGTAGGAGGGGTAAGGGCTGGCCGTGGGGGACTCAGTGTGTAGGAGGCAGTGGCTTTGCTGATGACTCTGGAGGGGGCGAGTGTGGGACCTGGGAAGGCAAAAGCCCCAGCAGCATAATTCTAGAATTTGAAAATTTGATTCCTGCTTGTAGTTCTAATGCATAGCACTGTGTCTGACCTATAGTAGGCTCGATAAATATTTTTAAATATTAAATAGCAGGTCCCTTTTAGTGAGAGTTTCAGCTTAAATTGGGGATGCGTGAATCTACATCTGTGGCAGAAGGCATAGTGGGAGAGGGTGGCAGGAATCACTCATGGTTCGTACACCTGGTGACCTGCAGAAAGGAGGATGACAGCATCGTCAGGTCCACATGTAGCTGCTTATGTCCGGGTTGATCTAAACACAAAGGAGGTGTTCAGTGGCAATCGCAGGATTTGGATGCCCCATGTGATATGTTTTTATCAGTAACGGGAATGGAGACAGGTGGTGTGTTTGTCCATTCTGTAGATGACACAAAGACTAACACATTTAATGTGTTAACATTAAATGACAGAACTAATACTCAGGAAGGTTGCAGCCGGCTAAACAAAGGAAGGATTTAATAGAGATATGTGGTTTTCCAACTTGAGCTTCAAAAACTCAATTGTTCCTAGATGGGATTGGGGTGACCTGCTTCTACAGAGGTGTGTGATAAAATATCCTAGCGACTTTAGGTAGTGCAAGCTCAGTAGATGAGCCAACGGTGAGACAAGGCTTACTGCAGATGGAACTTGGGATGTTTTCGTGGGAGCAGAGTATTTAGAGAAGCAGTTGACTGGCACACGCCCCTGGCAGCATCGTGTTCTGCGTAGGGTGCCCAGGTGTGTATGAATTAGTCATGGTCTCTAATGTAGTTAGAGGGTGTGCTGCCAGGTCATGGAAACATCTATTGGAGGGATGAAAGAAATATCCCGGGAAAGAGGAGGTATAAAAAAGAACATGAAGTCTCACTGCATGTATTTGAAAGGCTCTCAAACTGGAGATATTCGCAAAGATTCTCAGCCGCTTTATGCTCTCAAAAATTGTTAAAGACCCCAAAGACCTTCAGTTTGTATGAGTTATACCTATTAATGTTTATCATTTACAGATTACAACTGTGTATTTTCTCATTTGAGACAGAATACTAACTGGCAATTTGTTTAACTATTAATTTACCTTATTTTTACTTTTTAATTTAATTTTTTTTTTTTTTTTAGATAGAGTCTCGCTCTGTCACCAGGCTGGAGTGCAGTGGCATGATCTCAGCTCACCGTAACCTCCACCTCCTGGGTTCAAGCAATTCTCCTGCCTCAGCCTCCCGAGTCGCTTGGACTACAGGTGCACATCACCATGCCCAGCTACTTTTTGTATTTTTAGTAGAGACAGGGTTTCACCATGTTGACCAGGATGGTCTTGATGTCTTGACCTTGTGATCTGCCCACCTTAGCCTCCCAAAGTGCTGGGATTATAGGCATGAGCCACCGTTCCGGGCCAAAATAACTGTTTTCTAAAACCAGGAGTTGAGTGAGAAGAGTGGCAGATGTCTCCAATGTCTATCATAATAGAAGATGGCTGGAATCTGTTATCAGCGCCTGCAGTCAATTGTGACATGTTGTTTTGTCGAAATACGTGGAGAAAATCTGTCCTCACAAAGACATGTAGCAGAGAAGGGAAGACATCACAGTCTTTGGACCACACTTTGAGAACCACTGGTTTAGACATTAGGGACAAGGAGCTGAAGTTCTGGACAGTAACATCTAACAGTGCCACCCACCAAATGAAGGGTCTGGGAATTCCCTGCCACTTGAAGTTATTCGATATAGGGTAAAAGCCTCTGTCTGGCACACCACAAGTGATTCATTTTTAGGTGAGAAGTTAGACCAGATGTACTTTATACAATTCTTTCCAATTCCATAATCTGACGATTTTATAGCTGAGGAACTGGGCAGCCTGCCTGGTATACATCACTACATCTGAGATGAGAGCTGGTTGAAGGATGTCTGAGACCTCCATATGCTCTTACCTGCCTTCACTCAGGGAGTGCAAATGGCTCCCTCCCCCTGCAGGAGCCATAGTGGGGCTTCATTTCTAGTCTAGGTCTGAGCACCTAGAGGGTGCTAGGAGAGTCCTGTACGTCAGGAGCACTCTGAGAGTTCATCACAGGCTCTGAGGCGCTCAGAGCAAAGTTGCAGGGATGATGGTGAGGAGAGAAGCAGCAGAAATTGGGTAGGACTTGAAGGTAAAAAGGAAGCTAGGGGCCGGGCACAGTGACTCATGCCTGTAATCCCAGCACTTTGGGAGACCAAGGCAGGCAGATCACCAGCTCAAGGGATGGAGACCATCCTGACCAACATGGTGAAACCCTGTCTCTACTAAAAAATCAAAAATTGGCCGGGTGTGGTGGTGCACACCTGTAGTCCCAGCTACTCGGGAGGCTGAGGCAGGAGAATTGCTTGAACCCAGGAAGTGGAGGTTGCAGCGAGCTGAGCTCATGCCACTGCACTCCAGCCTTGAGACAGAGTAAGACTCCATCTAAAAAAAAAAAAAAAAAAAGAAAAGAAAAAGAGGTTAGGAACATCTGTGTGGGTCAAGACAGAGTGGAATTATTGGGAACATGAAGGAGAATGGAGAAGAAGCAGAAAGTCCCAGAGCTATAGAACTGGAGGACAGTAACCTTAGAAAAAAGGGAATGAGGCCAAATGCATTCAGCACAATACAACCTTGAAACAAACCAAACATTGTCATGCAGTAAAAAATCGAAGCTGCAAATCAGGTAATGTGCCTCCTTGCCAACCATCCCCCATGCTGTATCCAAATCACAGGCTGTGTCTGGGTATCTGTGCTGTATCCTGGAGGCCAGTCTGAGAGTTGGCAGGTGCATAGGCTGCTTAGTGGGGGAACCTCTTGAAGGGACATAAAGTAATGACAACCCTTGGGTGTCTTTGTTGACAAAGTTTTTCTCTTTGACGCACTGAAAACAGATCAATCAAAGAGATATTTTCTCGAGGTTAAAATGTCTTAGCATGCCCCTAAACTCTGGTGACCTGAAGTTGAGCTGCAGAGGCCAAGAGTAAATGTGTAGGGAGGCCCTTATGTTTGCAAAGCGCCACAGAGCAAATTCCCAGGGAGCAGGGATGGTAAGCAGCCGGCAGCTTACCCAGGCTGGCATCTGCTCCAACAGGTTTCTGGAAGGCAGCTCCTGAAGGATCTTGCCTTTGGATACCCGAGGGGATTTCACAGGGTCAGCTTACTTACACACACCCAGCAGGTGCTTTTATTCCTTATTTTGCCCCCTGGTGAAAATTACATGAGTTCAGATTTTCCTTGGAAGTCATCCGAGCTCTCTGTACCTGGCTGTACTTCTGGGGGTTGCAGAAGAGGCAAAAATCTTGGCCAAGGGACAAGAGGAAGCAGGGCCTCATGGCTTGGCCTCCTGAAGAGTCCCATGAGTCTGTTGAGGCCTAAGATGGTCTCGGAGTCCTTGCCCTGGGATTCTTAAGCCTTTTTGTCCAGGACAACAGCACGTGCATTGGCAAAGATGCAATTGTGAAGTTCACAGAAGCTGCTCGTCCCAACCTGGGGACCCAATGGGGCCGCTGTTCCTATCCAGTAGCAAGCAAAACAGAACCCACAGTTTCTTTCTTTTCTTTTTTTTTTGAGATGGTGTCTTGCTCTGTCACCCAGGCTGGAGTGCAGTGATGTGATCTTGGCTCACTGCAACCTCCACCTCTTGGGTTCAAGCAATTCCCTGCCTTAACCTCCCGAGTAGCTGGGACTACAGGTGCCCACCACCACGCCCGGCTAATTTTTGTATTTTTAGTAGAGATGAGGTTTCACCATTTGGCCAGGCTGGTCTTGAATGCCTGACCTCATGATCCACCCACCTTGGCCTCCCAAAGTGCTGGAATTATAGACGTGATCCACTGCCAGGCCCAGAACCCATAGTTTCTAAGAATATATGGAGGGTAGATGAGTATCCTCCAGCAGAGGGAAGACCTGAACACCCCTGCGCTACAGGTCCTGGCTTCTGATCCTAGTGCCGTGTGACTTCAGAGGGAATAGTATACTTCCATCAAGTCTATCAGCTCATGGACTGGGCTGTGGGTAGAGTTTGTGGAAACTATCAAACCCTGCTAGATTTTTTCTTTCTTATCTGCAGGCCTTCACAGTGCCGCAGAGAAGAGAATTTGCTGAATTCTTAGTTCTTCAGCTAAACCGTTAAGGGGCATACAGAAATGAAGAAAGCCAGGGGCGTCTCAGAATTCATAGGTGAACTCCTGGGGGAGAGAGTATGTATCGCTATCCTTGGTGGCATAGAATTACTCAGGCAAAAAAGAGAAAAAAAGGCTCTTTCCTGGGAGATGATATAAATTGCCTTCACTGTTTTACCTTAGTTCCTCAAGAGTAAGCCCTGGAGAGCATCCCTTTTCAGGTCTCTAAGACCAGGTTATTGAATCCTGAGACATCTCTATGGCCGCCTCTACAACATGGCTTCCGGGGAATGGAGAGTGCATAAGGGCTTTGCTTACTTAAAGACTTCCTTGCATGTTTTCTTACAAGTTGGGCCCTTGAGCCACATCTTCTATTTGCCTAGTGGTTTAATAGTCTTTGTCCAAATCTAAATTTAAATGGCAAAGATGTGGAAAGAGGAACCCCATGTAAACAAGCTTAACTTTCATCAGTGGCTGGAAAAGGAGTTCAGGGTCTCACCTGGATTGGCTCCGGGCCTGTTTTGGCTGCTTGTATAGGTGGTAGTGGACCAGAGATCTGTAAGAACATTTGATTGGTCAGAGCATGAATTTAATTTAATTAATTAATTAATTTATGAGTCGGAGCTCTATGCCCAGAGCTGGAGTACAGTAGCGTGATCTCATCTCACTGCAACCTCTAGGTTCAAGTGATTCTCCCGCCTCAGCCTCCCGAGTAGCTGGGATTACAGGTGTATACCACCAGGCTCAGCTAATTTAAAAAATTTTTTTAATAGAGATGGGGTTACACCATGTTGCCTGGGCTGGTCTTGAACTCCTGACCTCAAGTGATCTGCCCACCGTGGCCTCCCAAAGCGTAAGCCACTGCGCCCGGCAATGAATTTTAATCTAACTGTTCTTATTCTTTCCATGATCCAACCTAACAACACATTACCAAGGTCAGAAACAAGTTGAAGCTCTATCTTTGGGCAGTCTGAACCTGCTTTGAAAGAGGCATTCAAATGGAAAAAAAAAAAGGACTTAAACTTAAAATACTAACTAAAAACTACAGGTAGTAACCGTTGTATTTCACAATTATCAAAGTATGTTTTACTCAAATGTCATATTTATTTACACGTCATTATTCTCATAATAATTTTCAACTGTGCCACTCATGGGCAGGTTGAAGTAATCTTTCAGTAGAAATGTCACTTAACATTTAGCAATTTGCTTATGCTGCGTTACATGGTATTGATGCAAATAGCATTAGCTTTCCATCATTTTTAGAGGTACACAATGGGTTATCCTTAATTACTGTGTGAGAGAAGCAGACACACTTCAGCATTCATTATTTATTTAGCAATTTCTCTAAAGCAAGATTTTATTTATTTATTTATTTTTAAGACGGAGTTTCGCTCTTGTTACCCAGGCTGGAGTGCAATGGCGCGATCTCGGCTCACCACAACCTCCGCCTCCTGAGTTCAGGCAATTCTCCTGCCTCAGCCTCCTGAGTAACTGGGATTACAGGCACGCGCCACCATGCCCAGCTAATTTTTTGTATTTTGAGTAGAGACGGGGTTTCACCATGTTGACCAGGATGGTCTCGATTTCTTGACCTTGTGATCCACCTGCCTCGGCCTCCCAAAGTGCTGGGATTACAGGCTTGAGCCACCGCGCCCGGCCTAAAGCAAGATTTTAAAAGGGAGAAGGGAGATAAAGCATTCTGTTAGAGAAATGCAAAGCCTTGGGGGAGGGGGAAGAGAGGCATGTAAAATCCAGCTGAGGGAAAGAACTAAGTCTCATGGAGGGGAAGAGGCAAGAGGGCATGGAAGAAAATATCAATTTCTCTTAGAAATGGATCTTTCCAAAATCAGCTTTTGACCCTTTTTGTCTTTGTTTCAATTGTTTGACACAAACTCAAAGTAGGTTTTTTTAAAAAAAGTTTTTATTTGTTTTTAAGGCTCTTACTCTGTCCCCCAGGCTGGGGTACAGTGATGTGATCGTAGCTCACTGCAGCCTTGAACTCCTAGGCTCAAGTGATCCTCCTGCCCCAGTCTCCTTAGTAGCTGGGACTACAAATGCACATCACCATGCCCTGCTAAGTTTTTTAAATTTTTGTAAGACAGGGGTCTTGCTCTGTTGCCCAGGCTGGTCTTGAACACCTGGCCTCAAGTGATCTTCTTGCTTGGCCTCACAAAGTGTTAGAACTGGGGAGGGATGAGCCACCATGCCCAGCCTCAAAGTAGCCTTATTTTCTGTTTAATTATACAGATAACATAGGCTTACTGTAAAAATAACATGACATACTCTGCATAGTAAGCAATCACCTTTTGTCCTATAGCCAGCAGTTACTGGTATACAATTTTGGCATACAGAGCTGTATCCCATTTTCTGCAGGATGTACATGCGCTCATGTCCAACACACAATTGCAAAAATGAGATAGGTTCCCTTGCTGTTTTGTAGGCTGCTTCTTTGACTGAACGATCTGCCCCAGGCCTATTCTCTCATGTCACTATGTGCACGTATTTGTCGACATTTTACTAGCTGTATAGTAACTTCTTTAACTGTTCTAGTGATAACCAATTAAATCATCTCCTTTAAAAAATTATGAGCAGCATCTGTGTTCATGCTTCTTCTCACCCCTGGTTGATAATTACCTTAGGAGATATTCCTGGAAGTGTGAATGCTGGGTCATTTCTCCACACTCTCACCCAAACTGTGTATTATCAATTTCCAGTGCGAGTTGGTGAGAAATGATATTTTGTTGCTTAAATTGCATTTATTTGCTTCTTGGTGAAGCCAAACATCTTTATAATTTTTTTTTTTTTTTTTTGCCATTTGTAGTTCTTCTACTGTGGCTTGCCTGGCTGTGAACTTTCCCCATCTTTTTTTTGGAATATTTGTCTTTTTCTTACTATTCTTCAGACTGGATTTTAGGAAAAGCCTCCAGATAAGAAAGATAAGCGTTCACTGGTGAGATGTGTTGATAAGAAGGGAAACTATGTGGAAGGCATGGGCAGTGATAGATGCTGGCCTCTCCTCCTGCCTCAAATTTCACTCTTCCTCCCACTTAGCGGCCCTTGGTCAGAAGGTGGAGCCAAAGGTAGAAAGGTGAAGGATCACAGTCATCGCTATTCCCTGCCACCGGGCGGCGCTCTTCTCCCCTCCTTGGTCTACCCTTGGTTGTGGACAAGTTCAATGCTAGCTCAGCTGAGGCAACCATGGCATGTCTTGAAATGAACCTGATTAGGAAAAAAATGAAAGGCACAGCCACTCCACCTCCTTAGCCTTTGGTAGATTCAGCCAGCCCTATAGCTGAACCTGGGGGGATTTTCCGTCTTTTCCAGAACTCTTTCCTAAGCTTATCTAGAGATCTGTTTCTCCAGGCTTCCCGCACGGTCCCTGAGGATGCCATTGTCCTTTGTCTCTCCCATGAAGGAAGCCTCCTTCCTGCCCTGTGAGAAGTCTCTAGTGCTCTGGCTCTCGGTTCCCTTACCCCCAGCCTTGTCTTGCTCCCTTCTGTCTTGCTGTTTCATACATTCATGGGTCAGTTAAGGCACCATGATGTGGCCTTGGTATCCAGCCCCACCTTCCACCCGCATCAGCTCCTCTACATGGGCTGGGAGAGCCCCTGTCTCTTCCTGCCGTGTACTTTCTACTCTCCCTTGAACCCTCTCCAAGTTCCCATGTCCTGTCTCAGAGGAAGATCTTTATCCCATTTTGAAGTACAAATGACTCACAGACCCCAAACACAGGTAGCTCCTGTTTTGGCTACATGCTCTTCAGGTGTCCTAAGCTAAAACAACTTGCTGCAGGGATCTTGTTGGGATGTGTTCATCTATGTAGCCCAGATTTAGAAAAGTGCCTGGCACATAGTGGGCATTCAATAAAACATTTGTTAAATGAATAAGTGAATTGGGTTTTGCTTGAACACCCTGTCCACAACCAGTTCTAGAACCTTTTGCCTATAGTCACATATATAAGAGGAAAAATCTGGCTGGGCATGGTGGCTCATGCTGTAATCCCAGCACTTTGGGAGGCTAAGGTGGGTGGATCACAAGGTCAGGAGTTCAAGACCAGCCTGGCCAACTTGGTGAAACCCCATCTCTACTAAAAAATACAAAAATTAGCCAGGTGTGGTGGTACATGCCTGTAGTTCCAGGCTATTCAGGAGGCTGAGGCAGGAGAACTGCTTGAACCCAGAAGGCAGAGGTTGCAGTGAGCTGAGATTGTGCCGTTGCACTCCAGCCTGGGCAACAGAATGAGACTCAGTCTCAAAAAAAAAACAAAAGAGGAAAAATCTTTAGTAAGTGCAATATCAGCAACTCACTTGTCTATCAGCGGTGTAATGAGACTTGCTTTGTAATTTTCAGCTCATTTGAAGGACAAAAATGAGTTATCTAAATATCATTTGATATAGTTGGGCTGAAATATCACAGCAAATATCTATAGTTATCCATTAAGATAGGCATTCATGAAAGTCAACTGGCTACCTAGTGCTGGGGAGGAGGGGTTGGGGAAATGATGAGTAACTGTTTCTGGGTATGGGATTTCATTTGGGGGATGATAATGTTCTAGAATTGATTGTGGTGATGGTCACACAACCCTATGAATATATGAAACACCACTGAATTGCACTTTAAATGAGTGAATTGTATGGTTTCTGGAAAGTAGCTCGTGAATACTTTTATTTTAAAAAGACATAAAGAATTAAATGTTAATTTTCACTTCTTTTTAGACCTACAGAAACTCCTTTGAGTAGTCAGTACAACTTTTAAAAAGGTTTCCGTCCTTCCCCAGTTTGACTCCTATCCCAGCAATTACGGCCTGCTTGCTCTGAGCGTTTGTCTAGCAGTCCATAGGTCAGCATGGAGGTAGGCGCTGGACGAGGATGAAGAAGGAACACTGATGGGCTGGGAGGCTGTTGTCCAAAGCTCCTGTTCCCAAGCCAGGAATAATGAGGCTTTGCCAGGTTAGGAGCCACTACTTCAAGTTTCTTAGGTTTTCCACAAGCAGAGCCCAACTTGCAACAGGATTTCCAAGCTTCCAATGTAGCCAAATAAATATGCCACATGTTTAATTATATGTGTTATGTAAGAATTTAAAGTCCTCTAAGGAGAAAACAGGAGCACACAGCTTACTCAGATACTCACAAGTCTTTGAAAGAATCAAGACATCTGAAGTCAAGAGCCTGAAATGTTAAAAAGGAAAACTTCTGGCTATGGAACCCCTGTTAACCCTTGCCATCCAGCATCCTTCCTGCTTCTCTTTGTCTGTCAAGTATTGTGCACCTGTGTTAATGCTCTCCTGAGTTGAAAAGGAATAGAATGGTGGAGGAGTGTTTGATGTATTGCAGGACACAAAAATTCTTTTTGTGGTATTCTTATTGTGGGACTTAATATCACAGCTTCTTCAATTAGTTGTCCATAAAATGGCATAATATAATTCCTATTTCAAAAAGTCATTACAAAGATTAAAATAATGCATGCAGCATGCCTGGTCCATGGAATATATGTACTACATACATTCTGTTATTTATTATTAATTAAAGAAGTTGGCTGGGCCGAGCACCTTCTAATTTTGCCACACCAATCATGCCGAGATGTGCTCTGCCTGGGCCTGGATGTTCATTTTTGGCAGGGATGACCCCCTGCAAGGAAGAGGAGAGCCAGGCTGCTGGGGTTTGAATTCCAGCTCTGCTACTTCCCAGCTGTGTGGCCTGGGACCAGTTTCCTCACTGCCTTACTCCTTGGTTTCCTCATCAATACAATGGATTATTCAAATTGGAAGTCATAAATCTACTTCATAGGGTTGTTATAGAAGATTCGATAGGCTAATAAATGTTTGTAAGGTGTTCAGAAAACGGTCTAGCACATTCAAAGTGTTGATTTGCATATATGTATATATATTTATTTATTGAAATGGAGTCTCTCTTTGTCACCCAGGCTCAAATGCAGTGGTGTGATCTTAGCTCACTGTAACCTCCGCCTCCTGGGTTCAAGCAACTCTCCAGCCTAAGTCTCCTGAGTAGCTGGAACTATAGGCACTTACCACCATGCCTGGCTAATATTTATCTTTTTAGTAGAGATGGGGTTTCACCATGTTGGCCAGGCTGGTCTTGACTCAAGTGAGCTGCCTGCCTTGGCCTCTCAAAGTGCTGGGATTACAGGCGTAAGCCACTGCACCCGCCTGATTTGCATTTTTAAATAAAAACATGGACAGGTAGGTAGTTGGCTTCTGCTATGAGAGCAGGGAGGGGGAAGGGTCATGCTATGTGGCAGTAGTGACTGGAAGCTAGAGGTGAGACTGAAAAGAACAAGTCCTGAGTACTTCCTCCTGGAAGGAAAAGGTAGCACCAGGTGGGAAATCAGAAAACATTGGTAGGACAATAGGGGAACTCCAGCTGCAGAAGTTTTTACCCCTTTGCTAGAAAAGTTCTTGAACTGGTGAAAACTTCTGTACCTGGAGTTCCCCTATTGTCCTACCAATGTTTTCTGAATATTGCCCACCTGGTCCTATTTTTTCCTTCCAGGTTAAAGATGCTTATTAACTTAGGATGGTGTAGATATTAAGTCTGGGCAGAAACTTGAGATCAAATGATCAGATGGGCTCTTAAGGCCTTGTTTGATGTAGTCTGAGATTAAGTCCGTAAACTGGACTTTGATAAAACCTCCAACGTGATTTGAGCAATGGGTAAAGTAGTAAGACAAAAAGCCATCAGAAAAGAAACAAAAATCTTAGCTATCTGACTTTTCCTAAAGGGATTCTTTTGGTTTTGTTTACTTTTAATATTTGAAGACTTCCAAGTATAAGCCATTTGTCACTTAAAAACCAGTAACAACAAACCCCAACAATGTTTACATAGAAATCTACCATCCCCTCAGCTGAGCTTTTGGAGAAATGAGGATTTTGCAATGGGAAGGTATTTGTATGGTAACAGCAGTCCTATTTTTGAATCTATATCCTCCCTTGAATCTAGAAGGAGGACGCAATCACATACTCCTGGCCCAGTGCTCCAGTGCTCCCCATTCACCCAGCCCGATAGATGTTCAGACAGAGCTGTTACTCTAAAAGTCCCATTTCCATTTTCCCTAGCACAAAGCAACACATGGTCTACCTACTGACCCATCTCCTGGCTCCTGTGGCCCACAGGCTGTGGTCTGGGGCTGCTGGTGTTAGAAGCTGCAGAAGGGGATGGCCTTGGCAAGGTGGTGTGGGAGGCCTCAGCTACAGTGACAGCCAGAAGCTGCATCAGAGTGACCGGCTGTGCAGTTGTCCCTGGAATAGGTGGCCTCTGATAGACTTTTGTGGTCTCACCTGTAAGAAAATGGAATTATACTAGGGCCCACAAAATAACCTGTAAGCTCTTATAGAACTAGAAATAAAATAAATGTTGATTGAACACTAGCTATGAGCATGGAGTTGTGCTAGCCACGGTGAAGGGTGAAACCCAGGTAAAGCCACATTCTTGCCTGAAAGAATGTTTACTCTCAGAGCAATCACTCAATCAACCAAAGATTAAGTAGTGATAAAATAAATGACAGGTCAAAACTGCAGCAACATAGAATACAGACAAGGCAGAACATGATTAATTGCTGGATTAATCTGCCTGGCACCACTGGCAATGGCTCATGTACACGTTTTTTGTTTTTGTTTTTTGCTGTTTCGATTCGTGTTGGCCTTGGAATAGAAGATTGAAGGTACTCTTGGGGCTTTCACTGTGACTTCGTCTCAGAGACTGCATTCTAGATGCTCTAGTTTAGGTTGGTTCATGACTACTCAACTCCTCCAGGCACCAGTTTTCTCATCTGTAAAATGGGGTAACATAACTAACTGGAGTCTACTTTTTTTTTTTTCTTTTTAGAGACAGGATCTTGAACATCTGGGCTAAAGTGATCCTCCCACCTCAACCTTCCAAGTAGCTGGGACTATAGGTGCAAGCCACCATACCTGGCTAATTTTTAATTTTTTTTTTTTTAGAGAAAGTGTCTTCCTGTGTTGCCTAGGCTGGTCTTGAACTTCTGGCCTCAAGCAATTCCTTCATCTCAGCCTCCTAAAGCTCCGGGATGACAGGTGAAAGCCAGTGTCCTTGGCCTGGATTCTACTTCTAAATGGTACTCTTCATCCATGCATGATGATTTAGATTGCTTCTCTCATTTTAAACACCACTGTAGTTGGCTCCCTATAAAGCAAGTCTCAGTTTGTTAGTGCTCTGGTGCTCTGAGGACATCTCTGAAGGTTTAGAGCAAGGGGACAAGTGACTACCCACTGAGCATTGAGAACTGCGGGTTCTCAGGGAGACACACAATGGCCCCCAAAGTGAACAGTTCCTCAGTCTGGGAAGGAATAACCCGCTGCTGCTTGTGCCTGCTGGGCCCCACTGGGGGCATGGTAGCTTCTGTCCCTGTGCATCTGTACTGGCTCCTAGGGCTGATGTACAAACTACCACAAACTGGGTGGCTTAAAATGACAGATATTTATTCTCCCACAGTTCTGGAGGCCAGCCGTCAGAAATCAGCATCACTGGGTCAAACTGAGGGTGTCAGCAACACTGAGCTCCCTCAGGAGGCTGTAGGGTAGATTCTGTTTCTTGCCTCTTCTGGTTTCTGCAGACTGGCATTCCTTGGCTTTTGGCCATGCCATTTTAGTTTTCAAGGCCAGCATCCTCAGCTGTTTCTCTGCTCTGTCTTCACATGACCTCTGATATGGTTTGTTCACCTTCCCCTTTGGCATTGTACAACATCCAGAAAATAGTACCACAATCATAGTCCTGGACAAGCGATGCAGACAAATGTGTGGTGGGGTGTTTAGACCCACTGCCAGCACCAGCACCTGCTCATTTCCCCACCCTGACTTTGCCATCTGCGGGAATCACAGCACTGACTTGGGAGAGCAGGTCAGCAAACAGTAATCTGGAATTGGGTTGGAATTCAGCCATTCAGTCTGCTCTTGCAGGCATTACCAGGTCAAGGTAGGAAGCCGATCTTTCAATTGCCTTGTTTCTTGCTAAGGTGGTCACCTTTAAATCTGCCTGTAGCCTGTGCCAGACAAATCACTAAAGAGCTGGGAGCAGCCTCGGGGGTTTGGCCAGTCTTCAAGCCATCCTCAGGCAAAACTGAATCTGCCTGATTTATGACATTTCCATTATTTTAAAGAGTTTGAGCTTTCATAACAGGTACTAGGGAAGTTTCTGATTTCTCCATCTTACCCTATGGTAAATGCTACCAGGTAGTAATGCCTCTTTAGGGAGGTGCAGGCCCGGGTTTGACCTACTTCATCTAGGGAAAAGCCATTTAACAAATCCACTTGTATATTTTATGAAATGGGATGTAATTAATAATCTGGAAAGAAACATAAATAAACTGACAATTTAGTTTACTTGTAAATTATTCATGAAACTGCAGTGTACTAAAAATACAACTACTTATAAATAGTGAACACTTTTTGCCACCCAAAACTTATTATATATTGAAAATCTGAATTATCTTTTTGTCACACCATTGGCTAATCCCCAGGCTTCTGACTATCTCAGTCTGCCTTTGCTAAAATTGATTTGCTAGAGAAAGGTTCACTGTCCCGAGGGCAGTCTTTGTATCACTAGCTTATAATGCAGATGCCTTCAGGTGCATCTTAAATTCAACTAACAGCCATGGGTTTCCATGGGCTTCCATGGGCTGCTGTTTTTGTCTGCCCTCCTTCATGGATTAGAACTGTCTTTAAGAGGGAAGACAGAGAAAAATGACTCCTCCTATCCTAATTGCTCCCAATTCCTCACGAACATAGTGTCCTTGATTTGATCCAAGGTGAATTCTTCATGGAACCAAGTTCTTTGTGAGCCATTTGGAAAAAAAAAACTAGTAAAATAGCTTCTTCATGCAATCTCAGCTACATGGAGGTTTGATAGTTTTTCAAAGATTTTTATGGGAAAGCATTTCAAAACTTCTCTTAAACTCTACACACATTCCTCATTTGGGCATGGTCAGAAGAGCTCCTGGCAGCCACCTTTTCAAACATAGCGGGTGGTGCCACACAGCTCCCTGTACCTGGCTCATCGTTAGAACCACAGTAGATGTGTTAAAATGCAGGTCCCAGGGCCCTGGTCGCAGAGATTCTGACTCACTGGACTCAGGGTGGGCCGTGGAATTCTGATTTCAGAGCCACAGTGAGGGACTCAGCAGACAGTCAGGGAAGGCAGGAGAGTTTTTTCCCATACCAGCTCAGCAGCCTCTAACAAAGATTAACTTTCCCTTCTCTTGCTGTGGTACTAGGAATGTGCCTTCCTAGTTTTTTTTTTTTCAATAAACTTCCACAAACCAACACTTACCCGTTTTTATTTAAATAAAAACTTACTGTTCTTACTTACCTCAAGGCTCTAAGGCAAAAAGCAGCTGCCTGCCTAATGGTTGCTAAATGCCAGGGGGCGGGGTGGGGATGGGGGTAGGGGGCAGACAGTATTTAAATCTCAGGGAATGCCTGTTCTCAGTGTGAGCCACACAGGGCAAATCAAAGTGCCTTCTAGTTTTTGAGGGAGATAACTTCCCAGGATAGAATGTTATCATGCTTTCAGGGGTCATCCTAGCCTGATTAACCTGTTAATTCATAATCTCAGAGAGACGAGACACATTTTATAGGGGCAATGCTGAGACCTGAACAGCTGCTCACCCTGCATCTCTTCTGCTTCCCCCAATGTTGAAAGAAATTTTATCATTTAAGGAAGACCAAGGGGACCACTCGTTTAATTGTGCTCATTTTTATTTGAATTTGTGAAAACTTACTCCTAAGTAAGAGTAAGGACTTAGGGACTAAGACTTTAAAGAGAGAGCTTCTTCTATCTGCAAGAATCCCTTTTATGTGGGAATGCTGGTAGTTTAGCTCAGGGTCTTGCACATAGGAGATGCTCACTCAATGTAAATACTGAATGAATGAATGAAATGAAGGAGTAAATAATTTTTCAGACTCTGACCATCACAGATAATCTAGTAACAAGGAGATGACAGTAATGCCTAGTGATACTGTCATTAGAAGTTTAAATGGTATGGTAAAGGAGACAAGTGACATCAGCAATGCCTGGCTTTTGCTAGTTTATAAATTTCTCGAGAAGCACCCTTGGCCACCCGCATTCCCTCTGGATGTCAATGACTCGGACATCTGAAACAAGTGCTTGCTGGGGATGGATGGTGCTTGAGGTAAATAGTTTTAGAAATCATCTCTGCTGTGGAGAAAGACTGTACAAGCCAAGTAGACTTTTATTATCTGAGTTATCATTTGGCTATAGTTTATCTCCCCTACGCTTTTTTCCCTGCAACTTTCCCTGCTTTAAGGGGACACCGAGTTTGCATACTTTTTGAGCTGCTCAGAACTATGTCCTTGGGTGAGTTACTAAACCTCTCTAAAGGCCAACTTCCTCATCTGAAAAGAGAAGATACTGGCACTCTGTCTTGGGGTTACTGTAGTGCAGGTGTGTGGCACAGAGAGAGCACTGGGCAGACAGCTACAGTCACTGGAGGTTCTGTGGCCCTTCCTGATGTCCAGACACAGGCCCAAAGCTGAAGCCAGAAGGGCGCAAGTATCCCTTTCTGAAAGAGGAGAGGTGCCACTGAACTTCCCATGGGTGACTTCATTCCACTAGAACCTGGACAACACCCCGACACCCCCATCCCAGGCCAGTGAACAGAAGGAAAGGACCTGCAGAAGGGGAGGGGTCAGAAGACACCTTTTAGGGAGTGCTGTGTTCAGAGTCAGATGATATTTCCTCCCTTCCTTCACTCTTTGTTGCACCCAAGCCAAAAGAAGGTGCTTTAAGAGAGTCATTCATTAAGATTGTGGGGACTGGCCGGGTGCGGTGGCTCAAGCCTGTAATCCCAGCACTTTGGGAGGCCGAGGCGGGTGGATCATGAGGTCAAGAGATCGACACCATCCTGGTCAACATGGTGAAACCCCGTCTCTACTAAAGATACAAAAAATTAGCTGGGCATGGTGGCGCGTGCCTGTAATCTCAACTACTCAGGAGGCTGAGGCAGGAGAATTGCCTGAACCCAGAAGGCGGAGGTTGCGGTGAGCCGAGATCGCGCCATTGCACCCCAGCCTGGGTAACAAGAGCGAAACTTCGTCTCAAAAAAAAAGAAAAAAAGATTGTAGGGACCTGCTGGGAGGGCAGGTGGGCATCTTACTTCCCTCCAATCTTTCTGCAGACCCATTATAGGTGTGCAGTGCTGCAACAGAGCTGCAGAATTTTGGGGGTGTATTCTGGAAGTCTAGAAGTGCCCTCCCACTCAGGGTAAAAATAGGGAGTGTTGACATGTGGTCCCTACAGTTGGGGGCTGTATGTGAACTTGGGGACTGTTTCTGCCTCAGGGATCTCTGAGAGGGGGAGGGGTGCAGCTGGAGTGGCCCAGGCCAGCAGGTCTCAGCAGCTGGGGGTGCAGCAAAATGCAAGGAGGAAGGCGACCGCACCCCATCCCAGTTCTCAGATCCCAGAGGGGGCTAAAAAGAAGCCCAGCTGTTCCTATGGCTCTATGTGAAGGGACTGCGGGGTGGGGGGTGCTGCTGGAACCTAGCCTGGGTATCTGCCTTGGAGAAAGGAGGGAGGGCACAGATTTCTGGCCCAAGAAGAGGGTGTCAGGATAAAATGAAACACTGTCCCGTTGCCTTTGATATCCACACATACCACCTACTCAGGAATCAGTCTTTCATCTGGCTCTGCAGAGCCACAAGTCCAGATGAAACAATAAAGACACCAGCCAGTTAAAGGAGACCTCTGCCACCCATTTGTTTTCTCTGTGCTCAGGCCAAAAAAGAACAAGCCATATCTCAGAAATGGCCCAAGAGGCACCAGCACCTGCTGCCAGTTCACAGGTGGAGGTGGGGATAGCTGTATACTTGCAACTAAACAGACAGGACTAGACGACTGGACTCATTAAAATGTCTTAGATAGATGGAGCTGGAGCAGTAAGTAAGGGAAAAGACAAAAAACACTTCTTATGTGTATGCTAAGGCTCCTCAAATCATGAAAATTAGGAATCTATATACATACTATTAGTATAAGAAAATCTAGAATGATGGTTTAGAGAGGGGTTTCTGTTTGGCAGAGATTAATTAAGTTCTCCATACTGCGTTTTCCTCAAAGAGCCAGAGCAGTACTATAGGCTGATAGTGGTTTATGGTGATTAAACTCAGTGATCAGATAAAATTCTCGAACTCCTGGCCTCGTGATCCACCCGCCTCGGCCTCGCAAAGTGCTGGGGTTACAGGTATGAGTCACTGCGCCTGGCCTGATCAGGTAAAATTCTTGGAATGATGCCTGGCATACAGCAGATGCTCCATAAATGCTGTTCTACTGCTGTTCTTAAACCATGTTCACCTTAAGTACAGGAACAGAACCTGAACTATCAGGCTCATAACGTACTAGCTAGCCCAGCAAGTTTCTGGAAGCAATGCACAGTCCCATTATAAAGCAACTCACAGTTGCTCTTTCTGTGGGAAATCAAAACACCTCTGGAGACACAATAATGCATAGTACAGTTCTTGATTTAACACAGAAACCTAGAAAGAGGTATTTTCTTGGCCCAGAGTCTACCTATACCCACTTTTGTAGTTCCCATGGAAGCTGGGTTGGCACAACCCCATAGATAGTGTATTTTTGGCCTGGGTTATTCGGATTAGCAGCTTGCTGTTATCACATAAACCACCTCGTTCTCTTTGCTTCTCTTCACTTCATACCTAAGTAGATACAGCCTTTTTTCTTTCAGCTGCCAGGAAACATTTCCAGACAGAATGTCATGTCATTTTCTAAAGTAACAATACAATAGAACTCAAGGCAACAGTCAAATCTGAATGAAAATGACACAAATATAGAGACACAATCTCGGAACTGCAAAAACAAAAAATAAAGCTTTCACTCTTCGGCCCTAGCCATCTGATCTCATTGATTTCTGTGGCCATGTTCCTGGCATCTGTTAAAATATTGCCAGAGCCAGTGGAGCTTGACCGGTTAGGATGTTAATTTCTCTGCTATCTCCCAAAACACATTGCGTGTTTATGAACTCAAGGTTTAGATTCAATCACACGTGAGTACTTGCCTGCTTGGGCAGCTGGACTTTTGGATGATGAATATGTAAGAGCTGATGGGTAGGTTACACCCTTTTTGGGTTTACTTTCTGCAAAAAAGAAAAAAAAGGTTGTTGATTACAATGAGAACGTCAAGTGGCATTTTCTTTTCCTGTATAGCTTCTGTTTTATTACTATCATAATGGAAGTAGCCAAATCTCCATGACTCAGAGCTGTTTAACATCAGCAATCCTTCTCTCACCCGTGAAGATGTGACATGGAAGCTAAGGTTTTCATCTGTGTGGCCTCAAATGTTTAATTATATCAGCAGATGAATGAGAAGCCTTTCACATGCTCTCCTTTGAGATGATGGAGTACTCTGGGCATAGGCTGGCTGCCTCTCACTTTCACAGATCCTGTGGGATTCATTTGAATTTCACAATGGTAGAACAACTAAAAGTTGGTAAATATAGGTCAACCTTGGAAAAAACCATGTGTTATCCATCCAGAGGGAGACATGGGAGCTACCAGGCAAGGAGGAGGATTGGTAATGTCTATCAGAGAAACGATGAAGCACAAAAAACATTACCAAAGTCTTCTTTCAACCGTAAAAGGATGCCTGAAATTCCACCATATGGGCTTTGTTCCACAATTAAAGTGAGAGTGCTACTGGAATATAGTAAGCCCCCTGAAGGCAAGTCATTTGTCTGACTTGGTAACTGTTGAATTTTCAGAGCCCAAAGCAGTTTTTTTCTGGCATGAAGTAGTTGCTCAAGAAGTATTTATTCAGTGTGAGAATATCTTAATGCTTAGATCTCTGTTAAAATTAAAATACTGGCCAGGCGCAGTGGCTCATGTCTGTAATCCCAGCACTTTTAAAGGCTGAGGTGGGCGGATCACAAGGTGAGGAGATCAAGACCATCTTGGCCAACATGGTGAAACTCCGTTTCTACTAAAAATACAAAAATTATCTGGGCATGGTGCATGTGTCTGTAATCCTAGCTACTCAGGCTGAGGCAGGAGAATCCCTTGAACCAGGGAGTTGGAGGTTGCAGTGAGCCAAGATTGTGCCATTGCCCTCCAGCCTGGTGACAGAGTGAGACTCCATCTTAAAAAAAAAAATTAAAATATCTTGGTAGGGCATTATTGGCTAATAGGTAGTACCTTGGTAGGATACTACATCTAGTAATGATATTACATCTAGTAATGAAAGCATTTCTTCTCCCATCCGGAGGGAATACTTTCACAGGATGTGAAGGAGATGGTGAGCAGTGTTGCCTGGAGGGCCTAGGTGGGTGGAGGAGGATCTAGTGCATTATCTTGCCAACCTTCCTACTGGCCAAGGGATTGTAGGATCATGAAGCAGAAAGAGCAGCAAGGTCTCAGGAAGAACCTGGGTTTAGGAGTAAGACAATCTAGGTTTCTATTTCTATTTTACCTTTAATTAACTGCCCCAACCTTTGAGGCTCTTGTTTTTTCATTCAGAAAATAGGGATAATGACATGGCCCTACTTACTACACAAAGTTGTAGGCATCTAATGGAAAAAATGTTAAGATGTTTTGGAACTATGTATCTCCATAGAGATGCAAAAATTTGTTCTGGTGTTACCTATAAATGCCACGTGTATGGGCTCACTTGCATTACTTCACCTCATTAAAATCACCTGGGGAACAGGACCTGGCATTTCCACATCCTTCGCCAGTGTCGAGGCCTGCTTCAAATGCCAATGATTGAGGTTATTTTAGGTCCTGGGAGGGCCCCATGGCTGTAGGCCACACTTTATCTACAGAAAGCGAGGAAGAGAAATCTTCTCTATTTATTGTTCTTCTCACATCTAAAACCTGATGATTTTTTTTTTTCTGTTTCTATTCAGAAGGAAAAGAAGCATGAGCTCAGTTCCCTGAAATGTGGATCAAAGAATAAAAGGGAAGTAATAGGGGGTCCTTCACTGACATTTCATACCCCTGGACTGTGCAAAGATCATGCGGGTCATAAATGTACATCTCCCTTTTCACTCCCTCTCTTAGCCCACCAAAGTGAACTAGTTAAGGAGCCCAGGGGCATATGAAAATTAGAAATAAAAACCTAGAGAAAGGTCATGGTGGCGCCTGAGCCTTCGGAAGAGGATTCGGACATGATCCAGTTAAATTTACTGGCCATGGGCCTCTGAATAATGGGAAGCGTTCCTTGGCTGCCGGTCAGTTATCAATCCTTATGCTGCAGTGAGCTCCTAACTCATCCATTCAGGAGAGGCTTCCAAGTGCAGAAGCACAAATGTTTATTATCATTGGCAAAAAGTATTTTCGGTTAAATGTCACTAGGTCAAATGAGGAGAGACAGAAGCTAAGATTTATAGGGAATAATATCAGCAGATTGATTTTCACTTAAAAAGCCCAAAACATCTCTACTGCCATAGAATTAATTTTTCTTTTAAACCTCTGTTGAGATTCTTGGATTGCAGACTGAGCACTTGAGGCTGAAATGCCTTTAGTTAGCCAGGATCTACTTGGTAAACACTGATGAGGAGATTGTATTTCTCTCTATCTCAACATATTTGTATTCTAGACATTAGCATTTTCACATGGTTCCTGTTCTGAATTTGTTGTTACAAGGCAAAGACCCAGAAGTACTGCGGTTGATACCCTTTTACTATCTGACAAAGAAACCAGTTCAATTTGAACTGTGGGTGTGTAGAATTTGGCAGGCAAAAGGAACAGGGATTGCTCAAGTTGGGAATAATAATAAAAGGTCTGTTTGTTGTTTTATTACGACTCTAGTCAGTGGAGGATAGTAGGGGCTTGAGGCATGGGGTGCCTAGCAGTGGTAGAAAACCACCCAGATTGGAAGGCCTACTGTCTTATAAAACATTTCTCTCTTCCCTATTCAGTTGGTTTTCTGTAAGTGGCTCCTTTTCAGGACAGTCCCAAGGTGCCTAATTTTGTTTGGAGGCCAGGAAGTTGGCTACAGTCTAGTTTGAAATTCTTATAGAAAATGGGAGATTCAGGTCTAGAGTAGGTTAAGTATAAGGTGAGCATAGAACATTGTGTTGTAGTCAAGCAATACCGTGAACATGTCAAAAGCCTGAAGGGCTCCCACCGGGAATCTCAGAAAATACAAAAATATGGAAAGAAAAATGAAGATAATAGATGATAACATTATATTATATTTTTAAAAAAAATCTATGAGTCTGTAGTCCACTTAAAAATAATAGGTGCACAGGGGGAAAGAAAATCTTCTTTATATAAGAACATTAGTTAATAAATGTGGAAGGAATGATGGAATTAGAAAAAATTATATTTTGCATTTACTAATATAATACTTGCTACAGTGAGGATCAGCAATGGATGTTAAAATCATTGGGTGAAATTTGTTGGGGAACAAGCTACTCGAGCATGTTAATGCATCATTCTACAGATGATTATTAATTATGAGGTAGCTTTGCCATGGAGAGATATAGCAAAGTATCCAATGAATCAAACTTAGCATCGCCAACAACGGAACAGACTGCATCTTGATATGGCCATTGTGTTTGACACAATGGATATGGTATGACAATACCTATCTTTCCACTTACCAGAAATCTCAAGGAATGAGGCTGTAGATATGAGGTACGTTTGGTTTAACTAAAGGACTGGTTTTAAAACCCGAGCTATTAAATGTAATTAATGTAATTAAAAATCTGATTGGACTTACAGATAGCTGCAGTGTAATTAAACAAGAAGTTGGAGCCTTTTAGTATTTTCAGATTTGACTTTGTGGTGATTTATCATGTAGTTCTAATTTATTGTTTCATGATCCTAATTATCAGAGAAACTAATGCTTCAGATTTTTATGAAATGAGGCGGGCCATAAGCAAAAACCAACAGCACAATGAAAAGAGCACGTTTCATCTCGTGGTACGTTTAGCAGCGTTTCTCCACTGTGTGGTCATACCTAAGACGATAAAGGATTCTCTCCATCGTGGTAGGGATAATGACTGGACACCGTTGGAATAACTCCCTTTATAGCCAGATTGTCCAGCAACCTTCCGAACAAGTATTTTCCCTCCTGAATTATCAAGCACACCACTATAAAGAGAAAAAATAATTTTTGAGGAAAGAACAGAAGTATTTTTCAACATGATCAACAGACTAGCAAACCAGTCGCCATCTTTATTTAGACATGGGAAAGTAGCAAGGTTAAGCAAAGTTTACCTTGATGTAAAGCTCAACCCACAAGAATGGTGCCTCCATCACCAGGCCCAGCAACTGAGCTCCAAGGTTGAATGTCTCTTTCTTCGGAGATGATTGCTCTGTCAGTCAGGAATTTCTTTTTTGCCACCATGCCTCAAATTTCTTTTCCTTGGTTTTCTCATTCCCACTAGCTTAAGTAAAACCTCTTTCTTGACTGTTTCTAATTTGGTTTTGTGATGTCTCAGAATTAATTTAGTTATTGCAAAGAGTGATGTAAAATGATGAAACGTAAACACTCCTTTTATTTCCGGTCAGGAAGGATAGGTGTGCAGCTAAGTTAAACTCATTTAAAAAGGATTCCCAGGCCGGGCGTGGTGGCTCACGCCTGTAATGCCAGCACTTTGGGAGGCCGAGGTGGGTGGATCACCTGAGGTCGGGAGTTTGAGACCAGCCTGACCAACATGGAGAAACCCCCATCTCTACTAAAAATACAAAATTAGCTAGGGGTGGTGGCACATGCCTGTAATCCCAGCTACTCTGGAGGCTGAGGCAAGAGAATCACTTGAACCCGGGAGGTGGAGATGGCAGTGAACTGAGATTGTACCATTGCACTCCAGCCTGGGCAACAAGAGTGAAAGAAACTCCATCTCAAAAAATAAAATAAGATAAATAAATAAATAAATAAGGATCCCCAAAAGACTGATAATTGTTTCTTTAATTTCCAGGAGTTTGTAAGGTTTTAGATCCTGATGGGACAGTGACTGACATATGAATGTCTTTCCTTTATGTTAGGCATGGTTTCCATCTGGTTGCTAAATTGCACTTTTACATTGTCATTTCTTGCCTCAGAGTCTAACATGCATGACTCCTTTGGGTATCTGTAATTTATAGTCTGGGGAGATGTTGATTTCTCCCCATCAACACCCTTCCTTCCCTCCAGGAGAGTTGTCACTTCCTGTCCTCCTACCTTCCTGATGAGTCAATAACAGTCAACCCTCAACCTCCCAATCGCCTAGAAGGAAAGTGGTACTCAACACATAAAGCACTTAATTGCTTTGAAACTGTTCTCACCTGTGGTGTCCCACTGGGTTCTCCCAGCAGACCTGAGTTGTGGAGTGGAGGGAATGCTGTTATTCCCATTCATTCCATAGAAACAGGCTGTGAGAGGTTGTGTTTTCTAACCAGAAACTTGGGATTTTCTAACTAGTCAGTTGCAAGAAGGATTTGAACCCAGGTCTAACCGACCTTGAGTCCTCGGTTTGTTCCTCTTGTTCCCATCTACCTCTCAAGGGTTCAAAAGCACAGGCACCTCCCAAAGCCAGCTCCTCCTCACTTGCTCTCTTCTCTCCCAGCTCCCTGTGATTGAGTTCGCTCACACCTCCCAATGGCAGGCAGGCTGCCTGAAACCATACTGCTGTTTCACCCCAGAAGACATGGTTCCCTCTGCCTAACCAGGCCTGTGCTGCTGTCAAAGGGCAGTGAGTTCCCAATTTTCTCCTTCACAGAGATTCTGACATGACTTTGCTACCACCTTCCCTCCTTAGAATCTTGTTCTTACAACTTAAACTCTGGTTTTGTTCCATCTTGTGCAATTTCCTATAAATTTCTGGAGTTTATTTTGTCTCCCAACTAAGTGGAAATATTTCTTATGGAAAGGACAGTATTTGATGTTTCCAAATATGAAGGTGCCACTGACACTTGCTTTTGAGAGCCAATTTATTTTTATTTTTATTTTTTGAGACAGAGTCTCACTCCTTTGCCAGGTGCCAGGCTGGAGTGCAGTGGCGCCATCTCGGCTCACTGCAACCTCCGCCTCCCGGGTTCAAGCAATTCTCCTGCCTCAGCCTTCCAAGTAGCTGGGACTACAGGTGTGCGCTACCACGCCCAGCTAATTTTTGTATTTTCAGTAGAGTCTCTATTGAAAATACAAAAATAGGATGGTCTTGATCTCTTTACCTCATGATCCACCCGCCTTGGCCTCCCAAAGTGCTGGGATTATAGGCGTGAGGCACCACGCCCAGCCGAGAGCCAATTTTTTTTCAACTTTTATTTTAAGTTCAGGGGATACATGTGCCAGATGTGCAGATTTGTTAAATAAGTAAACATGTGCCACGGTGTTCCGCTGCACAGATCATCCCATCACCTGGATATTCAGCCCAGCATTCATTAGCTATTCTTCCTGATACCCTCTCCTCATCCCCAACTCTGACAAGCCCCAGTGTGTGTTGATCCCCACCCTATGTGTCTGTGTGTTCTCATCAACTCCCACTTGTAAGTGAGAACATGTGCTATTTGGTTTTCTGTTTCTGTGTTAGTTTGCTAAGTATAATAGCTTCCGATTTAATCCATGTCCATGGTCCATGCAAAGGACATAATCTTGTTTCTTTTATGGCTACATAGTATTTCATGGTGTATATGTACCATAGTTTCTTTATCCAGTATATCATTGATGGGCATTTAAGTTGATTCCATGTCTTTGATATTGTGAATAGTGATGGAACGAACATATGCATGCATGTATCTTTATGATAGAATGATTTGTATTCCTTTGGGTATATACCCAGTAATGGGATTGCTGGGTCAAATTGTATTTCTGCCTCTAGGTCTTTGAAGAATTGCCAAACTGTTTTCCACAATGGTTGAACTAATTTACACTCTGTGAGAACCAATTATTATGCTTTCAGGATTGGGTGAGCTGATTGGCTTGACATCGGTAGCTTGGAATTAACAATGGTGAAAATATTTATATGGTGGGAATTGGCAAGTCAAGCCTTTCTCACCCCTGCATTAGAGCTTGTTGTTAAACATTTGCCAGCACACCACTGACTCAGACTGAAAATTCTAATAATTAAAAATAAATTTATTATTAAATTAAGAAATTTAATAATAAATTTTTTAAAATTACCCAGTGCTCTCTTTACTTATTACTATTGGAGAAATAGAAACAACTGTTACCTTTTTCTTTTCCTCCAGATAAACCAATCTGTCTTGGATTTATATCCCAGTATACCACGAACGTGTGCATAGCTGCCCCTCAGTGAGGGAAGCCCTGTACCACCACCTCCCTCACCTCGGGCTGAGCATCCTTCAGGCTGTTTTTAGAGAATGGCAAGGGGATTCTCAAGCTGGACTGGGCAGCTGAGGGTTATGTAAGACTAAAAGCCCAGATTTGGGAACAAGTATAGATGCAGAACTATTGTGTTCTCATGATATTTTCCTGTTGGGGCAGAGTGAAGCCTCATCTTGGAGGTGGATATATCCAGGGCTGATCCCAGGGAAGTCAGTTGTCCTTAAACCTTAGGAGGCATCGGCCGGGTGCGGTGGCTCAAGCCTGTAATCACAGCACTTTGGGAGGCTGAGGCGGGTGGATCACAAGGTCAAGAGATCGAGACCATCCTGGTCAACAAGGTGAAACCCCGTCTCTACTAAAAATACAAAAAATTAGCTGGGCATAGTGGTGCGTGCCTGTAATCCTAGCTACTCAGGAGGCTGAGGCAGGAGAATTGCCTGAACTCTTGAGGCGGAGGTTGCGGTGAGCCAAGATCACGCCATTGCACTCCAGCCTGGGCAACAAGAGCGAAACTCCGTCTCAAAAAAACAAAAAACCCTTAGGAGGCATCAACAATGCAAAGAAGCGGGATACACAGGAGGCTTGATCAATATAGGAGATGCTGAAGGAGGGAGAGAGCCTGAAAGAAGCTGTGGTTCCACTTACGAGGCAGACTGGGGCTCAGAGCTATGGTAACTTGGAGAATTTATGTAAATACCACCTCATCATTTGTATCACTCAGACATAAGCACTTCATAGATATTCTCTGGAAGAGCAAACCCAGTTCCACTCCTCTGCATTCCTCAGGTGCCCTTCATGGTGCTGAGACCTTGATGTTCACCTCCTCCCTGATTCCAGGGGACTGGGATAACTGAGGGTCAGTTCCTTGGCTCAGAGAGAAGGGATAGTTCACCAGTAGGCCAGGTGTCAAATGGCTGCTGTTCTGAGCGTGGGCACTGGTCAGAGATCAGTGAAGAGTGCCCTGCATGGAGCTGGTCTTTGCATTGCACCTTCTCAGAGAAATCTCTCCTCTCCCCTGCACTTGGCCCCACTTTAAACACAGGAGTTAGTTTAGGATAAGCCTGAGCCAAAATACAATGCCTCAAAATGTTCATTATCCCTTTGCTTTGAAGGAATCAAGGAATTTCTTGTACTAAGACCTCCGAGCATGATATAGAATATGAACATTAAATCCTTTAATGCAAATTAATCTGAATTTCTAAACCAAAGTATATTGCCTCCAGTCTCCCAGTTCTGACTGTCAGGACTCTGGCAGGACAATGGTTATAGGTCCCCAATGTACTCTCTGCTCATGTTCTCTGTATCTTAAATTCTGCCTTCTGAAAACAGATTTGCTCTGTGTGAAAAACAAAACTGATAGCTTCCAAAATTACTATCTGTTTTCCCTTAAGACTTTTATTCATCCTCTCTATGAATAGTGATACCTCTTTCCAAATAGTTTTTCCGCTTTGTCAGTCGCTGGCCCGGGAAGTCACAGTGGCACTCAGTTGCTCAAGCAGCAAATCTTGTTTTTTGCAAAACAAGCAAATCAAGCTCTTCTCTTCTGCCCCTCTTCCCTCACTTATATTTTCCCCATGGAGTTCCTACCCTTTAACCCAAATGCTAGGATTGTAGAGCCTTGGTTCTGTCCATGGCTCTGCCCTTCCTACTTTCTCTGCAGGGGTGCATGCTTCCACCATAAAGCCTTTCCCAGCTTTGGGTACTGTGAAGTCTACACCCCACCCCCAGTCCTCACTTTGTACCCTAAGCAGAGCTGGGACTCCCCCAGTCCTTGTGTAAATATATCACGTGGGCTCCAGGCTGGAAGTAAGGGGTCATGAGTTTT